GCAGTTTTGACAAAATTTTATCATCAGAGAGCATCAAGACTGGAAGACAAGGAAACAGATGTAAGGGATTACTTTTATATTTTAGGTGGGATTATAAATTGATATAGCTAATTCTGACCAAAGATATAATAGAGATTAAAAGAACTAAGAGACTATCACATTCAGTTCCATGGTCATAAATTTTAGAGCTTAGAGGAAATAATTTCCCAACAAAATTAAAATTTTCAACATTAATCCAAGAAATGGTATAAAAGTTCAAGAAAACATTTATAAAATCTGCTGTAAAATGACAAGAAATCTACCAATGAAAATGGCACAAAATCTAAGTAGGTTTAGAATTTAGCTTTGTCTAAACTATTCGATGTATTATTAGAATATTTATATTATTTTAAAATGAATAAAAATATGGAAATCACCACTAGTTTTAGAATGAATCATTTTAATAACCAAATTGGCTGACAATACAAAAACAAAAAATTGGGTCAGGGATTTAGCTCAGCAGCATAAGTGCCTGCCTGGCAAGCATAAGGTTATGAATTCAATCTCCAGTACCAAAAAAGAAAGAAAAGAAAATCAAGCTCAAACTCATCGGTGTATTAGAAAGGCAAGTTTAAAAAAACAAAATTCTAAAAGTATTAGCAAAAACTTGAGCAGTATGTAAAATAATGTAACCTGATCAAATATGGTTTTTTGCAGATTTAAGGGAGGCCACAATAGAGACTGATCAATAATTTATTATATAAAGAAGTCAAAGGATAAAAACTACATCATCATTAGTTATCCATCACCAAATCTGTCAAGATTAAAAAGCATAGTTGAGGACCAGGAATACAACTCAGCAGCACAGTGCTTGCTGGGCAAGCACCAAGTCGTGAGTTCAATCCCCCATAGTGAATAAATAAATAATAGAGCTGAGCGATTTTCTAATTTCTCTTAAGTCCCTGAATTGTAGTTGTGTATGATTAGCACTTTGTTCTTCTTAATTATAGACACAGTTTTGTTAAGCTAGCCTGAGTGGGAATGCTGCCACTTGAAACTGAGAATATTTAGTAATATGAGCATCAACATAAAAACTACTAGGTAATAAAACATTACCCTAGTAAGTAGTCATGTACAAAATAAATATTTTAAAATCAATAGAGAGCCCTTATAAATTGCTGGTGAGGATGTAAATTGGTAAGGCCACTTGGGAAAACAATTTGGCAGTTTCTCAGAAAGTTAATATCACATTACCATACAACCCAACAATTCTTCTAATATCTACTCAAGAGAAATGAAATCATGTCTGCAGAAAGACTTCATAGGAGGGCATTAGCCTAGCAAGCACAAGGACCTGCGTTCAATCTGAAGCATCAGACAAACAAAAGCGACTTCATACAAATGTTCACAGTAAAGTTATTCATAATGACCCAAAACTGGAAACAACCTAAATCTCCATCATTAGTGGATGGACAGACAAAATGCAGCATGACCAAACAACAGCATAATACTCAGCAGTAAAAGAAGAGTATCTTACATGCTGTCTTGTAATGAATCCTGAAAAACATGCTAAGAAAGCCAGACAGAGAGGACATATTACAAGATTCCATTTATATGAATTGTTAAGGAAAATCCAGACAGACAGAACGTTAGAATGATACTGACTCAGGAAAAGATGGGGAATGGGATTAACTATAAATACCCATAAAAGATCTTATTAGAGAAATAAAATACTCTAAAGCTAGCTAATCATTATCATTCTATCACTTGGTAATATTATTAAAAGTCATTGAACCACACACTTAAAATGGGTACAATATTCTAAAACATGTCTCTATAAAAAGAGATTCCTCGTGTACAAGCCCTAATCAAGTGAAATACAGGTAAAAGAAAACATTCCATTCATAAGCATAGGAAGACATAAAGCACCCAGAAATAACAAGCAATGTTTGATATTTGTAGAAAACTATAAAATTATACTCATAAATATTAAATCTTGAATAAATGAAGAAAAAGAGAGCTTGTTTTTAAAATTTATATTTCATTATTATAAATTTTTCCCACATTAAACTCATGAAGTCTTTCTGTAGACATGATTTCATTTCTCTTGAGTAGATAATAGAAGAATTGTTGGGTTGTATGGGTTAAATGTATTCATAATCAAAATCCCAATGGGTTTGTTTTTAGGAGAAAAAGCATGAATAATGATTCTTAATTTCATCCAAAATTATCAATTTAAAAATAACCAGGAAAATCCCTTCAAATAGGAGGAACAGGAAATGGAAATGTCCTACAATACTTTATTATCACAAAGCTATGATTCTCATCCCATTACAACAGTATCTGTAGCTATACAAGAAGAGTTAATAGATTAGCAAATAAATATGCAAGCTTAATGTATTATAAATCAAATTTCAAAGCAAAAGAAATATTCAATACAAAGTATTTGGACTGCTGTCAAGTCATTTGGAAAAACATAAAGCATGATTCTGACCTCACTTCTTATACCAAAATAAAATCCAGATGGATTCTATTTTTATAATAGCTGAGTGGGGAAGACTCCTCTAAGCATTTCACAAAGATTAGCGTCTGTAAGAAAAAAAAATTGGTTTAAGCTGAACTGCCCTTCAGCTAATAGCATTTGAGAGCTTGCTCCACATTGGCCCTTTTCTAAGCGTTAGATTCAACCTAAGGTTGGATACAAGTCGTGGACGTAGTTGACACCACCAGCCCATGACATAAACAGTGTCAGGAGCTTCACGTGTCCCCTCTGCTGCACCTTCCTGGGTTTCTCAGCCTCCCCTGACCCTACATGCGGCCACTGGTTCTGCCTTATCACCACCTCAGGCAGAGGACACGAAGCCCTGCTCCCTTTCCCGTTTATGCATTCTCATTGGCTGGGGATTATATGTCTCACCTAATGCATTAGCACTTCATCTTCATCCCAGTTGTCTGGGAGGGAATCTAGAGTAGGATGTTCCTTTTTCTGATCAGGACACCAATGCACAGAAAGTTGCTAAAGATCATCTAATCAGTCACTCATGATGCTAGGTTTTGAGTACAAAAAAAGTATTATATAGTTTTACTACAAACACAAAAACCCAAAAGCAACTACCTTATCATTAAATTACTAAACATCATTTTTTCAGATTAGGAATATGTTAGCTTTCCAACACTATGATAAAATGCCACAGGCAATTAACTTATAAAGAGAAAAGTTTTATTTTGGTTCATAGTTCTGGAAGTTCCAGTTCAAAAAGCAGTGTCTGTTTGCTGCAGGCCTCTCAGGAGGGCATTACAACATGGTAGAAATACCCAGCAGAGAAAACCACTCACCTCCTGAGGCAGGAAGCAAAGAACAAGAGACTAGGGTTCCACAGTCACCTCCAAAGCCATGCCTCTAATGACCTATGGGCCGTCCAACAAAGCCCTGCCTCCTAAACTTCCACTCCTCCCGATAGTGCTGCCTGGGCACCCAGCAGTTAACACATGGGCCTTCAGGAAGATGCTCGAAGTATAATGGCAAACACAAGAAGAAAAACTGATATTATTCACAGATGTCACCCCTGCACACATAGAAAAAATTTAAATCTACAAATAAACTATTAGTAGTAATAAGCTTGAATTAGTAAATTGTTGGGGAATACAAGGCAATATACAAATCTCAGTTACATTTTGTATACAGTATTAGCCAACTAAACACAAGGATACAAATACCTCTTTTCATAGCTTAAAAATACCCAGAAGTGGGGGCTGGGGATTTAGCTCAGCGGCATAAGCACCTGCCTTGCAAGCAGGTGGTCATGAGTTCGATCCCTGGTACCGATAAAAATGAAAAAGACAAAAAAAAAAAAATACTCAGAAGTAAATCTTACAAAAAATATGCAAGATAGTCACAAAATTATAAAACATTACCTAGAGAAATTAAGGAGGAATCCAAAATAGAGACACAGATCATGTTACTGGATTGAGATACAATATCATTATGATATCATTTCTCTTCAAACTGAATGTAATCCTAATCAAAGTCCTAACAATTTGGGGTTTCTTGGGGAAAAGAGGAGGAATTTTTGAGCCTGTGATAAATGTTTGCAAAGAGCCAAGAGAAAACCACAATGCCCTTGAAGAACAAATAAGGACTTGCTGTAACAGATGGTAAGCTACGTGGAATTCAGTACAGTACTGGTACAAAAGCTGGCAAATAATGGAAAATAAAAAAATAGGACATAAGGAAACATACGTTATTTGACTCTACACCATATCAAAACTCAACTGAATCACATCAAAGATGAAATAAGAGGAGCAAATGAGTTTAGGAAATAGTATATCTTCATTTCTCACAGTTGGGAGGGACTTAAACAAGATATACCAAAAAAATCAGAGAAATAGGTAGGCAAATTTGACATAAATCAAAAGAAACTTTAAAGTGAGAGAAAAGTCAAGCCATAAACACAAAGTAGCTATTTGCAACACATGTAACTAGAAAAGGTCTTTTACGTAGAATATCTTGCTCTTTGTTTCTATAACAGTTTTCCACATTTTATTATAATAGAAATTGGGATGCATACTATGATCAATAGAGGTCTATAACTTAACTGACAATGATCATTTTTTGTGTGTACCAGGGATCAAACTTGCAACCTTGTGCCTTGGCAGGCACTTATGCCAGATTATTTTTTTCTTATTGTGACAAAATAGTGATAGTTGTTAATCAATGGGCTCTTAGATTTAAGCAGAAAACTTTGTATAAAGAACACTGGAGAATAATTCAACAAAAAGTGACTCAAGATAAAAAGTGAGCAAATGAACAGACAGTTCACAAATGAGAAAATTAAAATCGCCAATAAGCGTGTGAAAAGAACCTTAGTCCCCTTAGGAATTAGTAAGTGCAAATTAAAATTACAGTATCACACAGAGGCAAAGTTTTTAAATTCTGATAAAAACTACTGTTGGCATGAATACAAAGAAACAGGACCTCCAACCACTGTGAGTGGACAGTGAGCTGGCAAAACCACTTTAGACTGACCCTGCATCAAGGCCAGCAGCTGCTGATGCTGTTGGTTTCAAACAGGAGCCTAAAGAGATGTCTTTCTATGGTCTGTTGGCCATTTCAGAATTTGGAGTGAAATGGTCAATTCATTAGAAAGAAACAGCTTGAAGCAACCCCTCCGCACCTGGTGAGTGGCTGTGAGTGTGGCAGGCTATGGCAGCCCAGGACAGGAACCACCAGCGTTTATTGGGACCCCCGCCATGCTGGGACCTGGAGCCCCGGGAAACCAAGCAATCCCCTCCCTCTTGCCTGTTTTGTTTTGTTGAACTTCAATATACATGAAAGTATAGACAGCTATTTTGAAGACAATGAGAGACACTACGACAGCCATTAGTGACTTCCCTACTGTCTGGTTTTGAAGACCTAAAATGCCTTCCTCATTCTGTTCAGATCAGTTTTATACTATGTTGTTTTGTATGAATTCTCTGTATGTAAAGTCATGGACAACTATTTGGAAGACAACAAGAGACAATATGATAGATGGTGAAGATCTCAGGTCATCTAGCTTTGAAATTTATATCTCTTACATTGCTTTCTTATGTCCTATTTTGTTCCATTTTGTTTAATATGTGTTTAATTTTACTCCCTTTAAAATAAAAAAAAACTGCTTTGGAATACAATTTACATTACCTAGTACAATGAACATGTGCAAACCCTGTGATGCAATCATCCTTTCCTCATTACACATCAGAGAAAAACTCACATTTCCACCAGAAGATGCATGCAAAATTCTTTAAAATACTATTATTCAGAATATTAAAAAACTGCCTTTCAGTGGTTTAAAATGCCATCCATAGTTTAATGGATAAACAAATAGATTTCTATCCATGCAACAGACTACTATGTATCAACGAAAATGAAGGAACAAGTTACTTGCAGTGATATGAATGAATATCATTAATGATGTTAAATGGAGAAAATCAAACAAAATGTATTATGAAGTTTTTCCTATAAAACTCAAAATAGTTGGGACTAAAGTTTATTTAAGAAATAATGGTCAGGTGATGCAAGTACAAACAAAAGTCAGATTGTCACAAACAATCAAGGTTATGGAAAAGAGAATATTTGTGATTCTGAAGGAGCACAGACAACTTCTAAGGTGCAGGCAATGTTTTGTCTGTCAGCCTGAATAGAGATTGCACCAGTGTTCAGTTATAGTTCATTAAAATGTATACCTACATCTATATAATCTATATTTTCACATGTCATTTAAAAATGAACAAAAAAGCAGAAATACTACCTCATTTAATTTTCATCTTTACTTATGCTAAGTGTAAATCAGTAGCAAAATCCTAGGAATATATAAAAAGTGTTTATGGGGTATTCTCTCAAAGTTTTAAGTTGTGAGTTATAAGATATTCACAGCCTGTGTGATCTTAATTTTTGCAACAAGCACATATTACTTTGTAATTAGTCACAACAAGTAAGACTTTAAATAACCAGAAAAGATGTTCCAGGGAAAACACCAGATATTTAGGCTAGCCAACTTTATCCAAACAACTCAAAAGAAACATTTCCTTAAAATTTCATATTCTTTGCCTTATTACCTGTGTTGCTAAGAGTCTGATTCCAAAAGCCAATTAAAACTCTTCATGAAAACCTATAAGCACAACCAAAATCCAGGTGTTGGCTGTAACTCTAAGTAAAACTCCACTGCCACATTATATCCCAATTAGCTTATAATGTCTCAGACAACATTAGAGACCCTTTCCTAAATATGAAAAAACTCAAAAATACTGCAACGTTTTCATAAACGTTTTGTAGTTTTCTATATCCATAAATGAGGCCCAGTGGGACAGCAGTGGAGTGGGCAGTAGTGGGGTGCAGCAGGTGGCAGGTTTATAAACATATATCAAACCTCACATATCACTTTCAAGTTTAATTAGCACCAGAAGGAAAAAATGATACTACCATCCATCTATAACTACTTAGAATACTACTGTGTTTTTTCTATTCCCTAAAGCCTTTTGTCTCTTGGATTTATAATATTGTATTACTGTTTTATGACTACACCCTCACCAGAATTTTTCTTTCCTTTTTTAACCAAATGATACCTATGCCAAATATTTCCACTTGCAAAATATTGAAACTCCATTCTTCAGCCCAGTGAGCACTAATTGTGCAAACAATGGAGAGAAGCAACCAGGGGCAACCGGTGTTTTAATGCATGTGATCCTTTGGTTTTCGACATACACCTCCCTGAGCTTGCACCCTTGCCAGGGAGTAAGCCAGTAGGATGCCGACAGATGTTCAGCAACCTGCTTCCACTAGGGCAGGGTGGTCTGTAGTACTTGCCTATTTCCGTGGTGTAAATGCTTCACCACAGCCAGCTGCCCATGTCATATGGTTGAACACAGAGTTGGAGAAAGTGCCCAGAAGAAGACTGCTACACTGTATTTCCGTAACTCAAGAGCATAAGTAACAGTAAAATATGTAGTGACATAACTAAAAATGCTAAGTCTGGGGTGTTTGTTACCATTGCTTTTAATATAATTTTAAGTTTATACGGTGTCATTTTTAATGATGTCTGCACTTGCCGATCAGCTACAAAATTCCTGAAAATGTAGCAGTTGTGTCTTGTGAGCGGGCACAGCAGCAGATTCAAGCTGACAAGCTTTCGTGTGGCTCTCACTGGGACTTATTTCCCACCACCACCCTCCTGGGCCCAGCTCTGCTTACCTTGGCAGGCAAGGACATTCCTGGAGGGGTTTCTGTTGTTCACAGCTTGGGTCTTCTTTTCCTTTTTCCTTTAAATTAGAAACAGGAGGGAAAAAAGGGCTTACTAAATTCAACTTAAAACTAGTGTTTTACAAATTATAAAAGTCAATTAGATTGAGTGGTAAAAACACATTGGTCTCACCCTTGCCCTCCCACGTACGAGTTTCGAAGCATATTTCCACCTGAAAGACATATTTCAGGTCTTTGCCAGTGAGATGAATATCTTGTAGGTGGTTAGGAAGATGAAATAAAATAGTGTCTTGTAAAATAGCACAGTGTCTGGCATGGGATGTGTTCGACAAATGGTGGTTGCTATTTTCTGTTTGTCAAGGCCACTTTTATATAGTTCCACATATACTACAGCTTATAAATATTTATAATAATATCAACTCCTGAGTTGTTTGCAGTTCAAAAGTTTATTTAACTTAAAAGGTGAACAAAATATGTTTTTCAAACCTTATTAAAGTTATTATCTGAAATATAAATATACAGATTTCCATCAACTTCTGGAATAGTCCACTGCCCATTTAAAAATATTTTTTCCACAGAAACTCTTCATTGACAAATTTTTTCTTTTATACTGCACAAAAGCTACATGCAAATTTCCACTGTGCTGTACTGTGATGTACTCATTCACTGTCAACTCCCATGATGAAGACACCAGGACAAATGTTCCTAGTTCAAGTGATTGACAGAAATGAAAAGCTGTCTCTCTCAGCAACAAAGACGCCTTCATCACCTCCTGCAGTGGGGTCACATCCTTGATGCTCATGGTGGGTCTCCTCCTCTTCTTTCTTCTTCCTCCTCCTCCTCTTCCTCCTCCTCCTCCTCCTTCCCTTTTCCTTTTCTATCTTCTTGCTGAAGATCTGGGTCACCACCTCCTGTTTCCTGTGGCCTTGTTTTTAGTTTAGGTATCATTTCAGCTGCACACACCATGACTGGCTTTCGCAATGGGAATTGTCCCAGACTGAGGCTGCCATCTTCCTGTTTACGCTGGACTCGGGCTCAGACTCTGTATTGAACATCAGGATAACACTCCTTAGAGTACATTTTATTTTTCTCAATAAGTGCATTAAGTCCAGTTGCTGAGCATACATCTTGAATCTCTGTAGCCATAGGATTTTCAACAGCCTTACTTACTGGGATCTACTTTCCTCTAGGATGGTTTTCCTATTATTTAAATAAGCAGGGTAGATACATATAAACCTGTCTTGGTCCACTAGAGACGTGCAGTGGCGCAAGCAATTTCCACACAGCCTCAATTCCTGACTGCCCAGCTCTTTACCAAAGTAAAGATATTCTCCATTATCCCAAAACGCTAAGTCACATTTTGTGTGCACATCCGTGTGTGGCTTGAACCCAGGGCTACATCCATGGCCTCTTTCAATTTTTACTTGACAATAGGGTCTCGGCACATTGCCCAGGCAGGACTCAAAGTTTTGATCCTCCGGAAGCTGGGGTCAGTGAGGGCACATGGTACATGTGAGAAGGCAGCCTCATTGCAATAATGGGGGAGACTTGCTGAAATCAGAGATTAGGAGGAGAAAAGCAGCCAGGGCATAACCCCACAATGCTCCTCCTCTCCCCTTGGTTCTCTAGGAGCCATTGTTTCTCCTTGGGATCTCAGATCCTGCCCAGCAGCCCCTTACTCCTCAGTCTCAGCTTCCGTGTCAAAGTCCTCGCCATTTTGCTAGCTACCATTGAATGAAAGTCTTCCCCCTGTGTTTCTTGAGCCCTAAGGAAAGTTGTGGCTTTCTGTTCTTGCTAATCTCTGGTTCCTCCAGCTTCCCTCTTTGCTGACTATTCAAAAAGTGGCTCAGGAATCAGCAGTACTGGCTACATCCAAAGCATCTTTTAAAATGCTGAATCTCAGAGCCCACAACAAACCTACTGAATTTGAATCTGTATTAAAAAGATCCTGAGCAGGTGGAATGTTGCTCAGTGACAGAGTGCTTACCTAGCATTTGGTCTCCAACACCAAAAATAAAAAAATGAGACAATGCCAGCTGATTTGAATATAAAATTGAAGACTATTCTGTAAGTAATGAATACCCTGTATTAAATTCCCCATTTGAAATATCTAGCATGTTTTCTGACCTGCTCTTATGTTCACATGCTCATCTGTCTGCAGTACTTATCCATTCTATTGGAGGGGTTTTGTTTGCTTTATTGTTTTGGTGTGTGTGTGTGTGACATTTGATATTGAACTCAGGGCTTTGTGCAGGCTGAGCAAGCACTCTACCACTGAGCTACATCCCCAGCCCCATTCTACTGAATTTCAGTGTAAGATTCTTGAATTTATAGTTCTCTCTCACTTCTCTGATCAAATATATATATATATATATACTGGGAATCAAATTCAGGACCTCGTGCTTGCCAGGCAGGCG